TCCTGAATTGATGCACGACAGACGTAGCTTTACACTGGGACCATGATGCGCAGCAGTACATGCTGAAGGCAGCGAGATGAATACAAATCAGTTTACTGTTCTTTAAATCACGAGCATGTGCACGAGTGTCGCGGACAGACTCGCAAAGACTGTAATATCTGCAGAGTCTCCATCTTAGCTAGGTCAAAAGTCAAGAACTCATCACGGCCTCCACCTCCCAACCCTCTGTCTGGTTGTCATGGAAGCACCAAGAACGGGGAATGAGGACTGTAAATGAGAATCCAACCCTTTCTGTCCTGTCTTTTCAAACATCCTGTTAATAAATTCTTCCACTCCCTGTGTTCTTTTCGCTTCGCTCTTCTCTTCTGCACAGCTCAAGCCTTTTTCTTTCGTCACCTCTCTTCTGCTTTAATTATTTTTCGCGGCATCACCGTTGGACCCGGCAGTGGAGAACCTCTGGGATTCAGACGGTTTCAATCCCAATGACACAGCTGTCAAGCCATAATGGGCTTAGCATATTAAAAGGCAAGGCGCTTAAATGAAACGTGAAAATAAAACCGTTAGATTACTTTCACGACATGGTATATTCAGAGCAGGGGTTCCCAACCCCTGGTCCAGGGACCAGTGCCGGTACAGGGCTGCAGTCAGACAGAGTGAAAAAAATATAATTCATTAATTTTATTTTTTTTCCACAAAGCAGTTTCCTGTCTTAGATTGCTTTACCATTTAAATCATTTAACAAACCATTGAGACCATTAAATTGCAATTATGAAACCCCCTGGTGGGGAGGTTGGTGAATAACATGTTATGTGTTTCGCAACATTAACTCCAAAATAGAGCCGAGTCAGAAACATGGAGTTTATGCAGACATTCTAAGAATACGTTTTTTTTTAAATGCATTGTTTTTATTCTTGTAAACCCATGCTAAGGTTTTGCCGTTGTTATTTTAGTCCCAGACAGATGAGAGAAAACAACTCTGATTTTAACGACGCAGATCTGAAGACGTTTGACAGAGCTGATCTGCGGCTGCAAACTCTGGTGTCTACTCATCCCTCCTGCTGTGATCAGACAGCCTTCAGGAGAGTGCAGCTCTGACTCAGGCAGAATTCTCTCAAGTTTTTATTAGACCATCTCTTTGTATCAAAAAAAAATTTAAAAAAATTAAAATCCTAATAATCATAAACCCCTGGTCTCACATTCAGTCCTGTTGTCTATTGGCCTGCCCTTTTTAAACTCTATCAGCCTCTTCCTGTCACCGAGGGAAACAAAATACTGTTGCTATGGTAACAGCTCATGGAGCGGCAGCTTCTGAGATTCACAGTGTGGAAACAGAAGCCTATATTTGGACATTTCCTGCCTGCTGTCTGGGAGGTAGGAGTCCTATGAACATTGTGTCTCATGTCAGTACGAAGAGCTGCGAGACGGAGGGAGTGACAGACAGACAGACAGACGTGAGACAGCAGAGCTTTAGGTCGAGAAGACATTAGAAGGTATAAGCAATGCAATAAGAGAGCTGATCTCTTCATGCATCATTACATTTAATAGAAATGGCCTTGTTATTTTAGGAACCATCCGGCTTAGGCACAATCTTTACACTCTTCTGGCTCACTGCGTGACTCATACTTCCAAAAAAAAAAAAGACTTTTACATCACCATGGCTGGAGTCACACAGATATAAAGCAGCACGCAGCAGCTGATTGTGCGTGGATAAATAGGAAATAGGAAAAGTTAAAACTATATGATCTGTCAATTTTAGTGCCATGTAAATGACTAACATCTTTCCGCAACCAACCATTAGTCCACACGTCCTAAAACAATCGGTCTGTCCATATCTTAGGCTGCGTAAACCAGCAGCAGTGTCTCGTATAAGTGAGAACTTATTTGGAAGAAAGATGAGAATGGACAGAAATGGAGCATTTTATGAGCGCAGGATGCAAGGTGCAGGAAATGAAAATATCGCCACTTCAGTGTCTAGACAGTCTGACAGGAAACATTGACTCGGAGAGAACATTTTTTGGGGTTAATTTGTTTTTTTATGTTCTGGCAGATGGAATCAGAAAAATGACATGAATCTGGTTTACAGTATATGTAAATTTTTTTTTTTTTAAAAAAAGCCGTCCGCCATTATCAGAAGTATTATTTTTTAAAACTCATTTAAATCTATTTTATATATATATTTATATTTTTTAAATTATAAAGAATTAAAAAAATTATCTTGACTGCATGTGCACACATGAGACTTTTGATGAATTTGTTTTGTGGACACTGATTAAAATAATAATAAATAAAAACAATTACAAGCCTCATGGCTCATGACTCTGCATGATTCAGTGTCTGGGGGAAAATTAAAAACTCAGAAAGAGGCCGCGGCAACCTTATTTAAAAATAAAAATCCAGAGCAGCGGCAGTGCAGGGGAGATAAATATTACCTCTCATGTAGTCATATTTAACCTCACGCTAACAATAGTCTCTGTTTACGTCTGTACGTTAGAGAAAAGTGGAAATGAATGCAGAACATGGGGGGGTGGGGGGGAAGAAAGAAAAAACAAAGGAAAATGAAATGGCAATGAATTTAATCGAACATCAACAAATGGAATAAATACATGACACATGAATAATACAAAGAAAACAAACGAGCCGTTCAGAGCTGGCAGCCTTACATCAGAAAACCCCAACACGAACCATCAAATATCAATTCCAGTGCGGTGCAAAGGGGATATAGACAGAATAAATAAATGTGAAAATTGAAAAAATAAATTAAGATTAACGTGACCAGAGAACAGTGTTCAGTGTGTGTCTGACGTACTTTCTCATGCACGGCTGCCAGTCTCTTTGACAGTCACGGGAACAAAAGTGAACAAGCTTCTAAAAATGAAGTCAACTCAACAAATGAATGCACTCTTTAACAACAACAACAACAACAACAACAACAACAACAACAACAACACACTCACATGGAAGACATCAGACAAAAATAAATAAGTTCATTCGAAACACATTCTGGTTCACTCTGTTCCTCTCTCTCACTCTCTTTCTCCGCACCCACGTGTGAGCACACACACACACACACACACACACACACGCACACACACACGCACACACTCACGTAATGTAGTTATGAATAAACCAACACAAATGTGAACAAAGAGACTGAGAGGTGGAGCATGCAGTTCAGTGGACTGAGCACACCAATGACATGGTGACTGGAGGAAAAATAATATTCCTTTAAAAAAATAAAAATAAAGACGGACTCTGTCCTGCATTCACTCACGTACTCATACGAACAGACACTACTATGACTACATCTCACTTTTTTGTATTGATTTTTTAGAATTTCTGCAGCGCCTGGCTGGTCACTACCCTCTCTGTTTGTTTCTGTTGTTGTGAGTGGTCAGCCACAGCAGAACAGGTTCTTTTGTACATTAGTGCAGAGCGCCTGTTGATCTTTGGAGCTGTACGCCTGGATCAGTGTTTCACAAACATATTTTCTGGGGACCCATATCTTAAAAGTCACAAACCTTCGTGACTCAAGTCAATAGACATTATTCGTAAACTTCTGGGACACATGGTGCGAGACGACCCCAAAAAAAACTCTTGCGACCCACCTGAGGGTCGCGACCCAGGCTTTGGGAAACAACGGCCTAGATGACTGTAGTGCTCCATAAATGCAAAATTATCCTGTAATACAGAAAAGCATATCTAAGTACAATTGTCCACCGAAGTTTGATTAAGCTAATGCCGTTAGCTTAGCTTTTCACCTCTAGCATAGGAAAAGAGAACCAAGAAAATAATATACTACACACCGTCCATGGGCCATTACATGTGACTGTAGTACTTTTTGTGGTACGCTGTAATAGTTTCCGTAAACTGCTGTATACTCTTCATTCCCCAACTAAAGTACTTTACTGTATTTATGTCTGTCTTACTATTTTTGATTGATTAAGACCGAAGTTACTTAAAAAAAAATACTAGATCACCGCTGTCCTTTCATATGCGGCTAGCGCACGTTAGCTACATCCATGTCTCATTATAAGGCCTATGATTTATCCACCGCAGGAACAGCGGCGGCTCAGTTCAAAACATTCGTTCAGTTGTTCTCCGCCTGTGTGTTTAGACACTTCAGGTAGAAAACCAAGGTCAGGGTTTGTACCTGTGAGAGTACATTTGTCTTTGGACTGAGTAATGAATATTAAAGCAGAAATCTGTGCAGCTTGAACTGAAGAAAATGTCCCTGAAAGGACAGAGAACTGGTGAGGGGAGCGGGGGGCGGGGGGAGTTATGGATGGATGAGTAGTTTCATGAAAGCAGACCTTCATGCTTCTATTGCTAATTCATGAAAAATGGGTCACACTAGTCTGTACCAGCTGCATACGATACCCACACATGGCAAGTCTGTGTATGATGTTTTTTCCCTTTAGCCTTCATGAAGGTACCACCAATTCATTCTATGAAAAATCCAAGGGAAAAAAATTTTCTGCTCAGGGAAATAGGTTATGGAGGTCTGAACTGAGTGAGCAAACTGGTCCTGGCAGCAAAGTGCCTGTAAGTGTTTAAATGCAGGGTCCAGAGAGGTGAAATCTTTAAATGTGACGCTCGGCTGTAGGTCACCGAGGCTTCACGGATTTTGCAAAAGCTCTCAGTGCTTTAAAAGCTGCAATTTCAGGGAGTTTATAACCACAGTATTTTGGAGTGTGGTCACAGATGTTCTTCCATTAGTGCAGACGTTCAAACTCAGGATTAAGGACACTTTGAAGAGTCATTACTTGGATGGATTAAGTTATTAATTTAGGGCTCACAGGTGAGAAAGATACTGATTGGTTGTTTTAGAAGAATGCAATGTTTGGTGCATAAGGATGTCCAACTTTATTTTAGGGATGCCCAACATTAACTTATTGCTGAAAACTGACATGTTGATATTGTCTAAAAGCTTAATTTCCGATATTAACTGATATTATACTCGCATGAGTTGCTGGCATCAGTATTCAGAAAACAGCTATCAGTATTGCTGGCATCAGTATTCAGAAAACAGCCCGCTGATTATTAAAACAGATCAATAAAATGCTCTGCAATGCTGCCATCTAGTGACTTTCATTTTCATATACAGCCGTTTTCCCCCAAAACTATTTTTAGAGCACTTGTCATTTGGAGAAACCCAGGCACAGGTTTATCGGGTTTCCATTATCGGAGGAAAAACTGATAATGATTCTTACAGATATTACATGGTTGCGATAATATCGGTCGGCCGATAACATCGTACATCTCTACTTCATTTGTACGACCTTGTTACCAATCCTCTGCCCCATATATTTACACATCGGTTAATGTGTAACCAATACACTTCTGGTTGGTTAGTACTTTGCCACTGAAATATTCTACTGGGAAATGAGGGAGGACTGAACACTGTCTTCCTCTGAAGGTAATACCCTATTTAATTCAAAGAGGAGAAATAGGGGGATGGTTGGATGTGAGTGC